TTGCGGAATTCACGCCGAACTCCACACCCTCCCCCTGCTCATCCCCCGCGTAAAAACTATCCCCCAGCCAAAGCCCTTTCCCCTCTCGCCTCCCCTCCCTGAGTCATCCCCACGTGGTCGTGCGGACCAGCTCTAAGAATAGAAAGGATCCGCGGCCCGCTCAGGTGCTCTTCTTCCCCTTCTCCCGCTCGGCCTTGCGCAGGGCGCGCTTGCGGATCGCCTCGTGCATGCCCTTGTTCTGGCCGACCACGAACTTGCCCATGGTGCCGGTGATGCAGGTCAGGAAGTAGGCCATCAGGCCGTGGCTCCAGTAGGGCGAGGAGCTGTAGGCGTAGCTGGGGGAGCCGCCGTTGCGGCCGATCTTGGCGAGGACGGACTTGACGAAGGCGCGGGGGTCGGGGATCGTGGCGCTGGTGCGGCGGATCTTCGACATGGCGGAGGTGATCAGGTAGGCCTGGACCAGCTCGACCGTGATGCCGTGGGGCTCGAGCTCGGCGCCCAGCGAGGTCGACCACTGCTGCAGGAAGGCCTTGCTGCCGGAGTAGGTGGCCAGGAGCGGGGTCGGGAGCAGGCCGCCGAAGGAGCCCATGGTCAGGACCAGCCCGCGCTTGCGCTGGATCATGCCGGGCACGACCAGCTGGGTCGCCCGCAGGGTCCCCATGCAGTTGATGGTCACGATGTCGGCCAGCTCGTCCGCCGGGGTCAGCGCGAACGGCGTCGGGATGTTGTGGCTCTTGCCGACGTTGTTGACCAGCACCGCCACATCCAGCTCCGCCACAAGCTCCTGGAGCTGGTCGTAGTCGCTGTCCTGGTTGCGGGCAAAGTCCATCGCCAGGGTCCGGGTCTGCACGGCCGGGTACTTCGACTGGAGTTCGGCGCGGAGGGCATCGAGCTTGGAGGCGGTCCGGGACACGAGGACGAGGTTGAAGTCGGCGCGAGCCAGCTGCAGGGCGAACTCCTTGCCCAGTCCGTCCGAGGCCCCGGTCACCACGGCCCAGCTACCCTTGGGGCCGAAGGAGCGGAGCTGCATCACCAGATTATCAGTTTCCCTGTTCGCTGCGATCATCGCCATGCCACAGTTATGGTCCCGGGAGTCGACATACCGGCTTGCCAGGGAGCACGAACAAGCTCAACAGGACCCGAACGAAGAGCAAGGCGCGGGAGACGACGAACAAGCTCCCAGCACCCAGAAGCAGGGAGGCGCCCACAGTCTGCCAGCCCGGCTGCAGATGAAGGTGCCAGTTAGACAAACAATCGAGATGCTTGGTAATGAACTCCATGATTGCGATTGCCTCAGTGGTGGCAGTGTAACCCTGAAACAATCCAAATGCGGAGGGGTTGTGTCACTGTGAAAGCTAAAAAGAGGGGGGGAAAGTGGGAAAAGACGCGGAGGATTGACGCGGAGAAGGAAAAACCGGAGCTGAGCTGAGCTGAGCTGAGCTGAGCTGAGCTGAGCTGAGAGGGAATTGTTGGGGTTTGCCAAGCCGGCAACTTCAACAAACATGCATCCCGGGGAGCTACCGAGGAGCTTCATCTTTTTATCTTTTTTATCGTTCAGCTCTCTGCTCTGCGTCACCTCGGTTCAATAACACCACCATTTGAATCGAGATAGTCCACCCAGCTCACAGACCCCTCCAACACCAACACTGACACCAACAATGCTCTCCCTTCCCCCCTTCGAGGGCTTCCTCCCTCAATGGCTCGTCCTGGTCCGTCACTTCGTCTACACCGCTCATTCCCATTCCCATTCCCATTCCCATTCCCAATTCCTAATCAATCCTCATCCTCATCCTCATCCTCATCACACAACAAAACCACCACCACCACACTTCCCCTTTCCCTTCCCAATAAACTAACCCCCTCCAAAAAAAAACAGGTCTCCGTCGTCTCCGCCGCCAATAGCCTACAAGCCTACCGCTCCGAAGCCTACGCCGCCGAGCTCTACAACGGCCGCACCCCGGAAGGCTACGTCTTCACCAACCCGCTCTCGTCGCGCACCTTCGGCACCTGGACCTTCCTCTCCGCCGTGATCCGCTTCTACGCCGCCTACAACATCAACAACCCGGCCGTGTACGACCTGGCCCTGTGGACGTTCGGCATCGCGCTGGTGCACTTCGTCGGCGAGCTGGTGCAGGGGAGCGCCCGGCTGCGCGGCCGCTTCGTCAGCCCGCTACTCGTCGCCTCGTCCACGTTGACCTGGATGTTCTGGGAGCGGTCGTGGTATTTGGGTCATTAGTTTATGCAAGGAAAAGGGAGTGGGGGGTGAGAGAGGTTTTTAGGGTGGATGGGTTAATCTGGATCGGTTGATCGGTTGAAGGGGTTCGTTCAGGCGGTGTTGCTGTAGGTGGGAAGGGTGAGGAGAAGGAGGAGGAGGAGGAGGGGGAGTAATGGATGCGGGCGCATGTTCACTAATGTTAGTTTGTAACACTAATGATGATGAGTTCAAGTCGGGACGATTGTCTAGGTGGTGGAAGTGGAGGTTCTGGGGTAATGGGTTGACCGAGTTGTGTCGTGCATGGCAGCAAGCAGGGTCTGCCGATCTGGCGGATCCACTTATATATATCTGTATCGTCGGATCGATCGGTCTCGCTCCCCCACAATCTGGGAACAACAGATCCGTCGGTTTGCTTTAGAACACGATTTGTCATGAGAGAGGTTTTTTTTTTTTTTTTTTTCTTTTAAGACAAAGGGAGAAGCTCGAGGTGGGACTAGGTAGAATGTACAGCTATTATCAGAAAGGTATGTGCACTATCATTGAACCCCTATCTACAACCTAGGCATCCATCTTCTTACGGTACAGTTCTCCTCCGCAGCCACGGAGTCTGGCAGCCGCCTGCTCCGGGGTAATGTCACGCTGAGGCTCGCCCAGCATCTCGTATCTAAAAGCCTTGTCAGTTTACCGTCTGCAGACAGAGAGCGAGAACCATCACTTACCCCACCAAGAACTTGCGGACGGTCGCACTGCGCAGCAGCGGAGGGTAGAAGTGCAGGTGGAGGTACGAGGCCTCGACCTCCTCCTCGGTGCCCTCCAGCGGCGCCTGGTGGATGCCCATGCTGTAGGGGAAGTGCGTCTCGAACAGGTTGTCGTAGCGGCGGGTGACCTCGGCGATGGCCTCGGCCAGGTGGGCCTTCTCGGCGTCGGCCAGGTCGACGAGGGCGCGCTTGTGCGTCTTGCTGACGACCATGGTCTCGAAGGGCCAGACGGCCCACCAGGGGCACACGACGAGGAAGCTGGCGTTCTCGAACACCACGCGCTCCTGCTTGCGGCTCTCCAGCGCGGCGTAGGCCTCCAGCATGTGCTTGCCGCCGTGCTCGCGGCGGTACTTCTGCAGCTGCTCCAGCTCCATGGCGGGCTCCTCGGGCAGCGAGCTGGTCGTCCACACCTGGCCGTGCGGGTGCGGGTTCGAGCACCCCATCGCGGCCCCCTTGTTCTCGAAGATCTGCATGTAGCGGTACTGCTCCTTGGGCGCCGTCGCGCTGGCCGTCGGCGCGTCGGGCGGCAGCGTCGTCGCCGGCGCGACCGCCGCCAGCGGGGACTTGGGCGACAGGTGCGCCGTGTACAGCTGGGTCCAGGCGTCAATGACGGGCACGATCTCGGCGGGCGACAGATCCGCCAGCGTCAGGTTGTGCGCCGCCGAGAAGGTGAGCACATAGCATTTGCCCGTGACCGGCTCGGCCTTGAGGAAGAACGACTCGGCTTCTGTGGGCAGAACGCTTGTGAGTGAGGGGTTCGTCCGCTGTGTGAACGGTTTGTTGTGTCAGATTATACCTTCGGTGCTCTCCGGAGTATACGGAGCCTGCTCCTCCTTGACTGCGCTGTAGTCGTTCACGAAGACAAACGTCTTGTCATACTTGGGGTTGGAATCACCCTGAGCGCGCTTGTTGCCCGGGCAGAGATAGCAAGCAGGATCATACGAGGGCAACGTGGTCTTAGACGGACTCTCCTGCTGGCCTCTGGAAGGCAAGTTGATATTAGCTGCTGGATCTTTCGTGCGTCTCTCAAAAGTCCAAAGAGAGGGGCTCTCTCAGAAACCTAGCACCTGAAATCACGCCAGCATAATACTTACTGCCAGGGACGCTTGGTCCGGTGAGGGGAGACCAAGATAGAAGAGCCGCGCAGAGGGTTGTATCTGCGGTGGGAGATGTCGTCGAGAACTTTTTCAACCATGGTCGCGAAAGATTTGCGCTGAATAGATTACAAGAAAGCAGAGAACAGAGAGTGTGGGAATCAGAAGACAGGCGAAAAAGAGAAAGAAGAGGAAAAACAGCACAGAAGGCCGAAGCGAGCGAGAGAAGAAAAACCTGGGCTGGCTGGCGGGGCCGGCCGTCGCGGGGCTCCGGAAATTATGCCCACCACGGGGTACTATGTAGATTAAAAGCCACTCGGGTATTTAAGCGATGGACTCTGACGCTGCCATGTCACTTCAGGGACTTTGTTGTTGATAATGCCGATGACTGATAGACTTTGCGGAATTTTTCCGGAAGTATTGATCGTGTTATCAGGGGTATAAAGTGCAGAGAATGGGGGGTTATGTACAATGGTTGAACCCTTTTCGGGGTCAGCTTCCCCGCGGTTAGCCGACTTGAGTGGAGTTCTTACGTCGGGCCGACCGGCTGACGTCATCCCCGCCAACTGGTCAGTTCAGCATCACATGGTCTGGTCCTGTTATCATCCAGCTAACTCGGTGGGTCAAGTTATCACAGATAGTCAGCAGTCAGTGAGTTACATGCAGGGCACATACACAGGCCTACAGGAATACGTATGTACACACCGCACAGCAGCAAGGAGAATGCTATTAGTATGGCCAGTGACAACGACACCACCAAGACAAACCTCTTCTCTCTGCCTAACGAAGTACGCTTGAAGCCGTGACCTCTTA